TTGGAACGATGAATCAGGACAATAGACTACTGAGGTTCTGGGAAGAGCAACTCTATGTTCACATGTTGTAATCTGGGTCTGTCAAAGAGTTCCCCTTCCAGCCTGAAGGTGAAGTCATCAAACAGGAAAGAGAGCATGCAGGGCATGGTGGCACACACACACACACACACACACGCACGCACACACACGCTGTCCCAAGCATTCAAGTAGCTCAGTGAGGGAAATAATTACATGAACCTAGGAGTCTGAGACATGTGTAGGCAACACTTAACAACCATGTTTTTAAGAAAGGACTTGGACGGCCGGGCGGTGGTGGCGCATGCCTGTAGTCCCAGCACTTGGGAGGCAGAGGCAGGTGGATTTCTGAGTTCAAGGCCAGCCTGGTCTACAGAGTGAGTTCCAGGACAGCCAGGGCTACACAGAGAAACCCTGTCTCAAAAACTAAAAAAAGAAAAAAAAGAAAAAAAAAGAAAGGACTTGGAGGGATGGCTCAGTTTTTTAAAAAGTATTTTTTATTTACTTTATGTATGTGAGTACATTGTGGCTGTCTTCAGACACGTCAGAAGAGGGCATTGGACCCCATTACAGATGGTTGCTGGGAATTGAACTCAGGACCTCTGGAAGAACAGCCAATGTGCTTAACTGCTGAGCCATCTCTCCAACCCAGATGGCTCAGTTTTTAAAGCATGTACTGCCCTTGCATAGGACCTGAGTTCAGTTCCTACCCCCTATATTGGGAGGCTCACAACCACCTGTAATGCCAGCTCCAGATGATCTTCTGGACATTCTCTTCTGGTCTCCGTGGGAGCCCATACTCTGCAAAAATCTACCTAAAGACACACATGCTTACTTATAATTAAAAGGAAAGTGCTTGGGAACCCGGGACTGTGATTTTGCTCCAAATTCTGAACCCAATAGTCTTGGAACAATCTCCTGTTGGAGATGACCCATTTCTTATTGTTGGCCCTAATCTAAGTTCTAACTCGGGAACCCTATCCATGACATAAACCTCACTAGACCCTTCCTTGCCTCTTTGCTGTCTACACACACTGGGCATCGCTACCACAAGCAACTCACTGTTGCCGCTACTGTCTTTAGATACCAAAGGCTACTGCTTTCAGTGCCTTGCTACTACTGCTTGGGTACCCGATCTTCTTGAACACCAGCTCCCCCAAAGACACAGTTCATCTCACCCAGTACATTCCACTTCAGAACCACCGACGACGACAACCACCACCACGGCCATAACATCCCATCACTTCCCGCTCTGCGTCATCCCCTCATAGATGATTTTGTCGTAAGATCACTTCACACATTCAGCTCTATTCTGTGGGGACTTCAGAGATGTCTTGGCAGTTAAAGAAGACTTGCTGCTCTTGTGGAGGTCAGGAATCTTGTTCCCAGCAACCACGAGGAGTGGCTTAGATCCACCTGGAATTCCTGCTCCAGGGGATCCAGGGGATACTGAAAATAGAATCTAAGCATCACCTGTCAATAAAAAAGCTTGTGGCCTATGTGCTGAGACAGAGAATAGGAGGCGGAATCCGGCAGGAAGAGAGAGAATTCTGTGAAATAGTCAGAGGCGAGGAAGAGTCACCCAGAATGCTGAGGAGACAGACATAAACCATCAGGTAACTGAACTCAGGATAGAATAAAGGGGAGATTCACTTCAAGAACACTGTGAAGAAGGACATAAGACAAGGAGAGAAAATTAGCCAAGTAGCTGGACCCAGGTTAGGGTAAAAAGGATAAGTTAATAGCAAGTCGAAGAACAAGCTGAAACTCATGGTCAAAGCATTTATTAATAAATAATTAGTCTCAGAGTCATTGCTTCTGGGAACCAAGTGGTGGCCAGGAAGAAAATCTTTTTCTGTTTTTGCACAATACCTCTGACTTCCTTGTACACGAAGGTTTACATCCATATACTATATATACATATGTGTGTGTGTGTGTGTGTGTGTGTGTGTGTGTTTGGTTTTTCGAGACAGGGTTTTTCTGTGTAGCCCTGGCTGTCCTGGAACTCACTCTGTAGACCAGGCTGGCCTCGAACTCAGAAATCCACCTGTCTCTGCCAAGTGCTGGGATTAAAGGCTATATACTATATTTTTTAATCTTCTAAAGAAGACTATAATCCCTTTATGTTAGCTCTACCCACTATGTTGTATATAGAGATCCAAGACTTACCTTGTATAATTGAGACTTTGTATCCTTTTTCCCCCCTTCCCTTCTCCCTCTTGCTCTGCCCCACCCCGCTCGCTCAGGCCCTGCTCTCTCCGCTTCAGTCCAAAGTCACCTGGCTATGGTATCTTGGGACCAAATGAGGCAGAACATCATGGCTGCAGGAATGCACCAGAGGGAGCTTGCCTAGCAGACACCAGGAGCAGACTCAGATGCACCTTCAAGCCTGCTCCCAGTGACACCTTCCTCCAATAAGGAAAATTTCCTCACCTCCTAAAAGCCCACCCAGCTACAATCTCATCAGTGAGTTCATCCATAGAGGTCACTGCCGTGCGATCCAATCAGCTCTCGACAGTCTGTTCAATTGGACGTCATGCCTTCAACACAGCTTGTGTATTTTCTTCCCTGCTTTATAACAAGCCTCAGAGTTTGGCATCCAGTCTCTCTCTCTCTCTCTCCCCCCCCCCCCACCCCAATCTTCGCAGTGCCTGACGCAGATAGGTATTCTGTACAAATTTGTGCCTCAAACTCAAGTGCCTCTTAATGGTGAGCCTTTTTTAGGATTAATTTTTAAAAAGCTACAGAACTAGAGAAAACCTAAGCTCCATTCCTGTTCCAGTTGTTCTCCCTGTAGGTGACTGTGGAGTCCAGATAGAAGAACTGGTAAGGTTGAGTGACCTCAAACCGTGTGAATCTCAAAATTCAGAACGGTAGGAGTGGGGCTTCTCCCTGCCTACCTTTATGTCCTCTGGATGAGATAACCAAGATACCCCACTGAGGACCATGGCAATCGGCCAAGGAGCATAGAACCCTGGAGCTCTCCATGGTAATGAGGTATCTAGATAGATTTTTTTTTTCCTATCAGTTGCTCATTATCAACCCATCTTGCCTCATCTGCTACCAAATGATGGCTAGCGGGCCTGCTCTCAACATCACTCCAAGCATTGCTATGACTTTTCTTCCTCTACAATTCCAGCCAATCCTAAAATTAAAACATTTTTGTATAGTAACCCCACTCAATTTGTTAGAGGTCACAAAGAAAGAGATTACTCCAGCTGACATCTCTAGACAACGCATGTGACAAGGCAAGACAGGGCAGAGGTTCCTCCACCTTATATGTGAGTGTGGCAGGGCAGGACAGGGCAAGGGTTCCTCCATCTTACATGTTAGTGTGACAGGGCAGGGGTTCCTCCATCTTACATGTGAGTGTGGCAGCGCAGGACAGGGCAAGGGTTCCTCCATCTTACATGTGAGTGTGACAGGTCAGGCAGGGCAGAGCTTTCTCCATCTTGTATTCTTGCTCAGGCCATTTCAGATTTAACTAGAATTTGATCTCCTTGATGGAGAATCCTGTGGAAAACTGCCCAGCTCTATTCCAGGACCAGAGGCCAAGATGCCCCCACCTAACTCATCTTAGCTCCTGTCCAACTGCTTGCTTGTGCAAACCTCCCCTGCAGCTGCAGAGACAACAGGATATAGCTTTTGTCTTTAAAAGCCCCTTGGTCTAAATGCTCCGGGCTACACTTAAGCCCTGAGGACCTGAGTGTAGTACCAGCCACTGGAATAGACTTTGTCAATTGAGGTAGGGTTTCTCTATGTAGCCCTGGCTATCCTGGGAAATAAAGACTTGGAATTGGCTACAAACTGTGTCTGAGTGGTCATTTCTGGTGGCCTTCCTGTAAGAGCAACCTTTATTTGGATACAATCAGAAGATTAAAAACACAAGGACAGTAGGTGCATTTGGTTTATATTTTAACTCAGATGTTATCAATGTCTTTCCCCCACTAGTTGGCATAGGACTTCACAGTCTTAACTCAGTCGGGCAAGCATGAAAAGACATGGGCCACAGGAGATGAAGGGAACGGAGTTGCACCCGCAACGACAAAGAGTCAGTGCTTCAAGCCATTTAATCCCTGGAATACAGCAGTCGGCCTTTGGGAAAACAAGGGTTTACTGGGTCCAGGAATTAAAACATTTGTCTAAAAATCTTAAACGGTGCAAGAGATAAACGATTCCAAGATCCTGTCCTACATACAAGTTTTACAGTAGGCAAAGACATATATAATAATTCTTACAATTGAATTGGGACCCTACTACCCAGCCTGCTGTCTGCCTTCTCAAGGTGTACTCAATGTTAACTGCTTTCCTCAAACAAAAGGTGCAATCTGGAAGTCGGAGCTCAAACCGACGCCGCTGCACAAAGCACCGGGTCTGGAAGAGGCCGATGCGATTCCTGCACACACTGGAACATAGGACGGGGATGATGCAGAGGGGAGGGCAGAAGCTCAAGCCCGAGATCCTGACAGCTGCAAGCCCTAAAACAGACAAAGTTACCTAAAAATAGGCGGGTAAAGGCGCGTAGGACAGGCTGAGTCTGCGCCACTAGCCCGCGCGCGCCTGCGCACTACAGCCTGTGCCTGCGCTTCCCGGGGCTAATGGCAAATCTGGCCAAGGCATTCCCAAACCCAAGGTGTCTGCGAGTGGACACCACGGGCGGGTGCCTGGTGTCCGGGGCATTGTGGGACAGCGATGCGGTGGGCACGTGACATGTCCCCACTAATCAGCGCGCAGACCGCACTTTTGCTGTCGGCTTCAAACAAACTACCTAGCGGGGTCGAGCGGCTCCGGCCCGCCCCTCGGCCGGGGTCGCGCCCGCGGGGTGGGGGGCCCAGGGGGCGGGGCGATGAGACGGAGTGACAGCTCGCTGCACCTATTCGGGGTACGGGCTGCGGCGCTGGCGGGCGCGGTGGGCCTAAACAGCCAATGGGGGCTGGGGGCGGCCCGGCCGGCGGGGAGGTGCGGGGGAGAGAGGGCGGGCCCCAATCCGGTTCCATCCGGTTCTCCCACCGCCCCCGCGACGGGTCGCAGCAGTTCGTCTGGTGGCGGCTAGGCAGTGCAGCTCCGTGACAGATCCGGCGTCGCACGCGTCTCCCACCCCGCGCCGCCACGATGCCCAAGAGGAAGGTGAGCGCAGCGGAGCCACGGCGCCCGCAGGGTTCGGGTCTGAGGGGTTCTGGAATCTTCGGGGACGCGGGCGGCTGGGCGTGACGTCACGCGGCCGCATTGTTCTCCGCTGTGCTTTCTCCTGCAGGTTAATGCAGATGGAGCTGCGAAAGCGGAGGTGAGCGCGGGCCTCGGGTGGGCCGGGCGGGTCGGGGCGGCCGGGGGTGTCGCACACCGCGTCGCTTACCCCGTCTTTCTCTCCGCAGCCCAAGCGCCGCTCCGCGAGGCTGTCGGCCGTAAGTACCGCGCTCGGGGCGGGGCGGGAGCGAACGGGCCCAGGCACAGCTCGCCCGCTCAGCGCCTCACACCCCCTCCCTTTATTAATTTATCTTTTGCCAGAAGCCTGCCCCTGCCAAGGTGGACGCGAAGCCAAAAAAGGCCGCGGGAAAGGTAGGTTTCGAACTGGTGTTCAGGGAAGGCCGCTTAGTTGAAGTTGTGTTTAGGAGGTTTCTGGAACGTGGGTGGGGGTAGATTGGGTAAAGTGTGGAACGTTCGTTCTCCCGCAGCAACAGGGCTTTGCAGATGACCTGAGTTCAGTTCCCAGGACCCACGGGGCACCTCAAAAACATCTGTTGATTCCAGTTCCGAAAGGATTCATGCTCTTTTCTAATCTCCAGCTGCAGGCACACGGTGCACATATGTACGTGCAAAACACTCATATAATAATACAAGCCTTTAAAAAAAAAACTCAGAAGCATTTTATGAGCTGAAGATGACTCACTGGTTAAGAACGCACAATGCTCTTACAGAGGGACCTGAGTCTTGAGTGACAGCTCCAAGGGATAAGAGGATCTGATAACCCCTTCTGGCTTCTGCAGGCACAGCCCAAGCATGCACAGACCTATATGTACGAATGTTGTTTAAAAGTAAAGTCCCCTCCCTCCCCGCATTGAGGACATTGAGCGGAGTAAACAATTGAACTGTTTTCCCAATAGTTAGTTGGTGTTTTACTTTAAATATTTGTGGGTATTTTGCCTGCATGCATGTAGGTACATTTTGGAGGCCAAAAGAGGACCTCTGGAATTAGAGTTATCAGTTTATAGCTGCCCGGGGAGTGCTGGGAATTGAACATAGATCCTCTGGGAGAGCAGCTGAGTACTCTTAGCCAGTGAACTGTCTCTCTCTCAAGTCCTAGTTTTGGTTTTTTCAAATACAGCCTCAAGGAATGGTGGTAATGTGGACTAGACTTTCTCAGGCCAGAGAAAGTCATCCTGACCTGAACACTATGCCTGAGGGTCTGAAGAGAGTCGGCACCTCTGTCCCCACCTCTTCTCTATGAATAAACTTGGGCATTAGTACCTGTTTTCCTCTTAAGTTTGTTTATATTTTGAGCTGCTTATAGTTTGAGATAAGAGCAGTTTTAGGCTTGACTTAAGTAGGTTTGCTGAGGCAATGTAATCATTTTCTTCTTTTGAGGGGTGAGTAGGTCTTTCCTTTTGCCATTCTTCCAGCCCCTGTTACTTAAGGGCATGGGGTGACATGCATGCACCCCTATACCTGGCCACCATGCTTAAAGAACGGACTTGCCAGTTGGCTTTCTTAAGGAAAAACTTGAAAGAAGGGCTTCATTTTTATATTTCCACTAAATTTTTATGCCGAGTTTCTTTCACAAGCTTTTATCTTAATTACTCAACTAGTAGTATATGCTGTGTTACTCTTTAGAAGTAAACATTTCAAAGGTTTAACAAAGGAGGACTTGATTTATTTCATTTAGCTTACAGGTGTTTTATGTATACATATTTTGGGGGAGAAGCTTTCATGTGTGGCCCTAACTAGCCTCGAACTCACAGAATTCTGCCTGCCTCTTTCGAATTAGTGCTGGGATTAAGAGTGCACCATCACACAGGGCCAAGACATTTTATACTTTTTGTTGGTGCAGGGATCAAACCCTAATAGTCACCTGGCATTAGTGGGTAAATAGCCACTCTACTATAAGGTGACACACACACACAGACTTCGAACACTGATTTGTTTATCCTGGGGCCCTTTAAGTCGTGGAAATCCTGGGTACCTATAAGGAGTTTGGCTTTTCTTACATTTGTTTACTGGAGTATGGTTGTGCCACACCGCCTGTGAAGATGAGAGCTCTTTCCTGTACGACAGATGGGATCCAGAAATATTGTTTCTTACTGCTTATGGGTTAGTTTTAAACTTAATGTTTCAAGTTATATCCTCACAATAATAATACCCATGCTTTTCAGATTCTTCCAGCACCCAGGTGAAGATAACTCAAAAAGTGATCTTTGTAGTTACTCGTATGGTAGCAAGCAAGGAACTGTGGCAGGATAGTCAGCATGACTTACTGGAAGGTGCATGAAGGCGAATGGTCTTACACATGTGGGTACAAGTCTTGTCAGGACAATGGCTGCTGTGTGGCAATTAGATTATTCATGCTTAGAAGAATTTGGGGGACTGGTGGGGTTATACGGCCTTTGCATTTAATCTTTCGTGTGTGGTAATTCGTCTGTGGAGAAGGGCAGCACAGGCTTAAGGTCTAATCCCAGCTAATGACAAGATTCAGGACTCCTCGGCCACATGTGTCCTTGTTGGGGTGGATCTCGAGTTGTTTAATGTCAAGACTGAGGTGTCAAGATATCCATTGTGGATGCATTGTGCATCAAGTCAAAGTTGAATGCAACGTCCGGTAAAATGTCTCTTGTTTTAGGATAAAGCAGCAGACAAAAAAGTGCAGATAAAAGGGAAGAGGGGAGCGAAGGGCAAACAGGCTGAAGTGGCTGACCAGCAAGCTACAGATCTGCCTGCAGAAAATGGAGAGACGGAAAACCAGGTCAGAAGAGTGCGCAAGCGGGCACCGTGATTCTAAGCAACAGATGTTAAATTGGATCTTTAGTGTAGCAGATTAAAATTTTTTTTTGTTGTTGTTGTTTTTGTTTTTGGTTTTCGAGACAGGGTTTCTTCTCTGTGTAGCCCTGGCTGTCCTGGAACTCACTCTGTAGACCAGGCTGGCCTCGAACTCAGAAATCCACCTGCCTCTGCCTCCCAAGTGCTGGGACTAAAGGTGTGTGCTACCACCACCCGGCTTTTTTGGGGGGGGGTGGCTGCAGATTAAATTTTTATGGGAACTTTCTATACAGTTCTCTCCCGTGAATAGGTAGCACATTAATGAACTAGGTTTTATTTGAACTTGTACAAATCAGTGAGAGTAAATAAGAGATTTGCGTATGTCAATTTCACCTGCAGTATGATACAAAGCGCAGAGATTTTTCCCACGTGACTTTGTAAGACTGTGGGAGCAGGTGAGCTGATTCTCTGCCTTACATTGCAGTGTTCAGCTTGCTGTGGTCTCTGAGGCTGCTTTTGTGCTAGAATCCTAGTTTGTATATTCTGGATACATAAATTATTAGACTCACTCCAATGAAAAATAACAGTTTTGTTTCTTCTGAAGAGTAGTTTCTAGCTGAGTGATAACTTGGTTCAGAAAAATGACATTGATTTCTGTGTTTTGTTTTTTGTTTCCAAGACAGGGTTTCTCTATGAAGCCCTGGATGACTTGGAACGTGCTCTGTAGCTCAGGCTGGCCTCAAACTCTGCCTATGTGCTACCACTGGTTTCTGTCTGGCTGCTCTTTCAAAGGACTGTGGTTCAATTCCTAGCACCCACATGGCAGCTCACTCAAAACTGTGTGTAACTCCCAGTTCCAGGAAATAGATACGCTCAGACAGACATGAAAGCAAAACACGAATGCACATAAAATTAAAAAAAAAAAAAAAAGACTCAAAATGCAGTACAAGGTGGAAACAGGGTCTTGAACTAATCCGCCTGCCTCAGCCTCACCTCCCAACTGTGAGGACTTCGGGTATGAGCCTCCATGCTTTGTAACAGCCAGCTTTTGTTAAACCTAGCATTCTTATTTTTTTAAATCCTTTATTATATATGTTAAACTTGGAAAGGGAAATTTCATTTTATGTAGGATTGTGGTAGGGTCTTTTGCTAAACCAAGCTTTCTTGCATAGTGGGATTGCAGGTTGGGCTCCCGCACTCACCTGTCATTTGTGTGGTTGCTGAGGAACTCTAGTTATCCTGTCTAAGTGGCAGTTCACTTTACCCACTGAGCCAGTCCTCCAGCCTGAATAGTATTATAGTGGTTTTTGGTGTGATCTTACTGTTGGCCTGGAACTAGCTCTGTAGCCCAGGCTGGCCTTGAATTCTCAGACAACTTGTGTTGTCAGATATTTGCTTCTCAGTCAAAAAGTTTTGGGTGTTTTGTTTTGTTTCTTTTCTTTTTTTATGGTACCAGAGATCAAACTCAGGAATTTCTGCATAGTAGATGAAGACTAAATTTATAGCCAACAACTACACATGTTAAAACATTTTTCTAGTTCTAACTGCACGTCTAGTATTAAGTGATTGGGACTCAGACTACTGATCTAATCCCAATTATAATAAAAGATCGAGCTGGGCACTGTGGAGCACATCTATAGAGTCAGCAGGTGGTAAGTCTCAGAATCAGCAGCTGAAGGCATGCCTTCTCACCATAGTAACCAAATTAGAGTTGATTCTCCTACAAGATTGCCAAAATCCTAAACCATTCCACTTGGCAGATTAAGAAAACATGTTTCAACTGATCAACACAGTACTGTGTGTTCTCTGTAGCAGCACCTAGAGTGTGTAAAGGCATTTAAAGTTTGCAGATCATTAACATGAACTCAAACATGCTGCTCTGTTCTGTTGGGTACATTATAGCCAGGTGCAGATAGCATCCCTACAGTGTCACTCACATAAAGTTGGAAGGCCAATGTAAACAGCCAGACCACCAAAAGAAGCAGACATTTTGAAATTAGTGTCAATAAGGCTGGAGTGTCCTAGACTTGAAATGAGGCAGCCTGAGCAGCCAAGGCTTCACGTTGCTCTGTGTGCAGTATCCCTTGATTGCAGGTCTTAAAAGACTGGGTGTGTTGGCAAGTACAGAATCTGTGAATAAAGCAACCATATTAAGAAATAGGATGACTAGGCATGGTGGCTTTAATTCCTGCACTCTTGGGGCAGAAGAAGGTACATCTTGGTGAATTTGAGGCCAACTCGGTCTACATAGTGACTTCAAGAGAGCCAGAGCTTTGTCAAGAGACCCTGTCTCAGAAGGAAGGAGGAGGGCTGGGAATATATGAGCACCATTCTGTAACATATGGTGAATTTGATGTTTGCTTTTTCTGTGGTTTGCAGAGCCAAGCCTCTGAAGAAGAGAAAGAAGCCAAGTCCGACTAAGCATCCATCGTGTCTGTCAGTGGTCCCTGCCTCCCTTCTTGTACAATCCAGAGGAATATTTTTATCAACTATTTTGTAAATGCGAGTTTTTTAGTAGCTCTAGAAACATTTTTAAAAGGTGAGGGGATCCCACCTCATCCCATTTTTTAAGTGTAAATGGTTTTTTTAAGAGGTTAAATCATTTGCTGGTTGTTTATTTTTTGGTACAACCAGAAAATAGCAGGATACTGAATCAGGAGAGGCTGTGACTGTCTCGGGGGGTCACCATAACATTCCGTAGAGGGGGCTAGTTTTATATTCTTCAATACAAAGCATACTAAATGGCAATTTGGAGTCTCAGTCGTGCATTTGTGTCTGGAATATTTTCAGTTATATCTGGTCCCGTGTTTCTAGTAGAACCGTTTTGTAAGAAAGCCAGTCTTTGGTCCTTGCCCTGTCAGAACTGTGATGTCTGTGGTCACGGCAGTCCATTTTCCTAACAGTTGTGATAATACGCTGTGAAAGATGAAAATTTTGAGTGTGTTCTGTGTGTGGCATAAAATTGTGAATTGGTGGAACTGAGGATTCTGAGCATTTGGTTGTTATGAGAGGTCTTGGGGAAACTTGCCAAGTTTGAGGCTAGAACATCACTGGAATAAGTTCAAAGAAAAACAGTGTGTAGCTCTTCATTTGCATACATAAACACAATGTGACTCTTCAGAGTTTGGGTACGTGAACACAATATATGGCTTTTTGGGGGTACGTGTGATAAGAATTGGAATGTGTGTACTCTGCTCCAATAAAATCTGTTGTGAAAGAGTATTTGAAAATGCCTGATTAATTTTCTGATAAACTTCTCTGGGTTTTTTGAGTTTTTTTTTTTCTTTCTGTCTAGCCCTGGCTGTTGCTCTGTAGACCAGTCTGGCCTTAGCTCAGGGATCCTGCTGACTCTGTCTGTTGCGTGCTGGAATTAAAAGCATATGCTGTTGGGACAGAAGGACAGCTCAGGTTAAGAGCACTTCGCAGCTACCACATGGTGACTGAGAACCATATATGGTGCCATTTGCCATTCTTCTGACATGCAGGTGTACACGTAGATAGTGTCATGAATGGTTTCTCAGATTCTTGAGAGATTGACATAGTTTGTGATAATGACTCTTGGAGTTCACAGTTGTGCACTGCATCTGGCTTCTACTTTCATGTGTGTTGCTGATGACCTGTAGTGCAAGAACCTGGGACTTGCTAAGGTTATCTAAGAACCTGGGTCTTTGGAACAGTGCAGGCCCCTACTTGACAGGTTGCTGAGACAGTTTCATGAAACAGGCTTGCTTTGTAGTCGTGAGTAATCCTGTTTTTGTTTTTCTTTTTGAGACAGGGTTTCTCTGTGTAGCCCTGGCTATCATGGAACTCACTCTGTAGACCAGGCTGTGAGTGATCTTGAATTGATTTTCTTGCCTTATATGTTGAGGTCATAGGCATGCACCACCAGGCCTGGTTAATGTTTTGGGTCCTTGTACATGCTAGGGAAAGTTCTCTACCAGATAAGTTAGATATATGTCCTGGGGAAGAACTTGGTGCTTGCCGAGCATCTGTAGTCTTTGGTCTATCCCCCAACACCACCAAATGAATGGGGGAAAGTTCGCTAATGGATTCCAATAGCACAGACTTGTGATCCTGGCTACCGTGAGGGTTGGGACAGGATATCTTTAGTTTGTAGATGTGCTAGACTGGCTGATGATGGAATTCTGGGGATCTGAATTTAGTTCCTCGCCTCACTATTTTAGCTGTCCTGGAATTCTGTAACCCATGGTGGCCTCAAATCCACCAGCCTGTGCCTCTCAAGTGCTGGGAATAAAGATTTATACACCATGCCCTTGAAGCTTTTTCTGTTGTTTCTGAGACAGGTAGTTTGTAGCTCTGGTAATCCTGGAATTAACTGTAGACGAGGCTGTCTTCACAGAGATATGCCCGCCTCTGCCTCCTGGATTAAAGGTATGTGCCACCACAGCCTAGTCCTGAAGCTTTTTTAAAAAGTTGCCCTATGGGGGCTGGAGAAATGGCTCAGCGGTTAAGAGCACTGACTGCTCTTCCAGAGGTCCTGAGTTCAAATCCCAGCAACCACATGGTGGCTCACAACCATCCGTAATGAGATTGGATGCCCTCTTCTGGTGTGTCCGAAGACAGCAACAGTGTACTCATAAATAAAATAAATAAATAAATCTTTAAAAAAAAAGTTGCCCTTTAGGGTGGTAGAGATGACACAAACAAAAGCACTTGCTACTCTTGGAGAGCATCCTGTTCCGTTTAGGGAGTGACTTCTGCCCTCTGAGCTGCATAGGCACTAGGAATATGCATGGTGCACATACATATAGGCAAAATTTTAAATTGCTTTTTATTAAAGTATACCTATGCCTCAATGCAGTACAACATAAGGAAGTCCTGTGTGTTCCAATCAGTTCCAGCAGCCATGAGAACCACCAGACCTGACAAGTGTAATGATGTGTACCTTTATCCCAGCACCCAGGAGGATTGGAAGTGAGGCTAGCCTGAGTAACAACAACACAGTGAGTTGTGCACACATGTATGTGCATGTGGTTAAATATCTGTAGAGACAAAAATCAGAGGAACAATTTTTTATATTGTTAAAAAACATTTACCTTTGAAGTGAATATTGTGTCAGACGTAAATACAGTCAATTTAGCAAGCCTCTATCATTATTGATGTTTTTTTAATTACTTTAAACCAGGTGTGGTGGCATAAACTTGTGGTCCCAGCACTTGGATAAGTTCAAGGCCAGCCTGGGGTATATGACATCCTATTGAAGAAAAAGGAACAGCAACCGCAAAGACTTTAGTGTAGAAGACACTATGCTTAGCATCACACACCTTCTTCCAGGTTGTGGTTCCACAGGAGTCTCCATTGAGAAAAAGTAAATGTTGGTGATGCCGTCTGAGCTGCACAGGCACTAGGAATGCACGTGGTGCACATACATACAGGCAAAATTTGGAGGTGTGGGTGTGAGGAACGGCAGGCAAAAGCACTGACAGGTGGGATGTATCCCTTCTCCATCCCCCACACGCAACTGTAGCTGAGTGTGGCCCACTGTGGAAGGGACATGATGGAGTCAGGACTTCACAGGAATGGTGGGTTGTGGGGTGATGATGCTTAAAGGGGCAGTGCTGTAGCTTGTGTCCCCTGATAAGTGACAAGCTGGGGACTCTAGGTCTGGTGGGCTTTTCCTTGGAAACAGTATGTCTTATTGAGAGTCTTTGAAAGAACTTAGCAATGTAAGTGAAGCACTGGAGTGGACAGCTCTTGTTCATGAAGCTGACTATCCTGTTGGAAGGTGACTTCTGTTAGGTCCTTGTGCTACTTTGAATGAGATTGGCCCCCAACAGCTCATATGTTTGAATGCTCCCCTAGTTGAAAGAATTGAGATGGATTGAGAGGTGGCCTTGGAGGAGGCAAGACACTGGCGGCAAACTTTGATGTTTCAAAAGCCCAGGCATTTGTTCCCAGTTAGCTACTCTTGCAAAAGACCGGGGTTAAGCTCCCAGCACCCATGTAGTGACTACAACCATGTGTAACTTCAGCTCCAGGGGATCAGAAACTTCTTTTGGACTCTAGGTACTGGGCACACATATAGCACACATATACACACATGCAGGCAAAATACTAAAACGGTTTCTAAATGTGCGCTTGTTGCCACCGTTGGCCTCAGTTGAGTTTTCTCTAAAAGAATGTACTTTGCTGTGCATGGCTTTTCACTTTCTTCTTTACATTTCCTTATTTGACAGCAATGTGAACTACAAAGTAAGTTCAGTAAACTGAATTGAATGGATCCGTATAATGAAGTGCTCTCAGTAGCTCCTGAGGTAAGCCCTACTTTTGTGAAGGAGTCCAGCCATCCCATGGCTAGGTCTTAGTATCTTAGTCATTGTCAAAAATAACCAGCTTATAAAGAAAATACACCATGGCTAGAGTCTTTGATATACAAGGTGTAAGCAAAAGCCTTAAGAAGTGCATCTTTCGCCGGGCGGTGGTGGAGCACGCCTTTAGTCCCAGCACTTGGGAGGCAGAGGCAGGCAGATTTCTGAGTTCGAGGCCAGCCTGGTCTACAGAGTGAGTTCCAGGACAGCCAGGGTTACACAGAGGAACCCTGTCTTGAAAAACAAACAAACAAACAAAAAAAAAAGTGCATCTTTCTATCTAAAAACATTTAGAACATTAGTGCTCCTGCAAATAGCCTGGGTTCAGTTCCCAACACCCACAGAAGAAATCATCTGTGACCTCAGTTCCAAGGCTCTCAAGCTTGTTGCACATAGAGCACTACACACATGCAGGCAGTACAATGATACATGAAAAATGTAAACTAAAAGAAAAATGTAAATTCTAGAAGTCCCAGGAACATTGGAAAATTGGTTGTAGTGTTTTCTGAAATAAAAAGCAGGTGTCACCTCTTAGCCCTGTGACAAAAAGACAGGACAGGGACTTACAGGCACAGGGACTTACAGGTGCAGACTTACTCTGGCTCGCAGTCAATCCATCTTGAGGAGGAGGGCATGGTAGCTGGAGTGGCAGGACCTGGAAGCAAAGCTCACTGGCTGCATGATCAGAAACGAGACAGTTTGTGTTGAAAATAGGGCCAGGCTATAACCCTCAAAAATCTTCCCCAGTATCCTCCATCTCTAGCTAATGCCTCAAACCTCCCCAAATGGCCTTACCAGCTGAGGACCTGCTGCTCAAATACATAGGCCTATGGGAACATTTCAGACTCAAAGTATAACACTAATAAAGATCTTATTTGTATGTGTACAAGTGGTTTTGCCTGCGTGTATGTCTGTACCACAAGCATACTTGGTGTCCTTGGAGGTCAGAAGAGGGTACCAGCTCTCTAGAACTAGAATTAGGGTTGTGAGCCTCCGTGTGAGTGTTGGGAATCCAACCCAGATCCTCTGAATACCCTGAGTTTGATTCAGGGCACCAGATGACTCTCAACTGCCTATAACTCCAGCTCCAGGGGATCTGGTGCCTCTGGTGGTGTACTTATGTGCACATGCCTCCACACAGACAAATTATTAAAGAGTTATCTGTGTGTTGGCACATAGAGAAGCAAAAAGATGTCACGTGTCCTCTCTCATTTCCAGCTATTTTTTTGTGAGAAGACTGTATTTTCTTGGCTGGCATGGAAACCAGCAAGCCCCAGTGATCCTTTCCAGTCTCTGCCCACATCAAAGCTGGTGTTAACAGGTGTGTGCAGATCACCTGAATTGTTTTATGTGGGTACTGGGATCCAAATTCCCATCCTTGAGGTTGAACAGCAACCTCTGAGCCAGCATCCTGCCACATTCCAAAAGGTCCTTTAAAGTAAAAGGGGGATGTGAAATCTTCTTTGTCACAGTTAGAGAATAAGGATTAATGATACAGACTTGGTTCAAACAAGCTGCATTTATAATTAGGGTGACACTTTAGAGACTCATGGAGGAACAGTGAAATGGGTTACTGGGTGAAGGAACTCACCCCAAACCTAATGGCCTGCCATTTGGTTCCCAAAACCCATGTTGTAGGATGAGAAAACCAACCCTGACAAGTTTTCCTCCATCCTCCACAGGTACTGTTTTACGTGGACACACATGCACCCCAAATAAATAATAACATAGTAAGGTGTTCTCTAAAACTTTCTGCACAAAAGGCCTAGCTTAGTGTTGTATGCCTGTAATCGACATGCTCTGTGCTTTGGCAGCTGAGGCAGGAGAATCAAAAACTCAAAGTCATGGCGCTTGAGAGATGGCTCAGTGATTAAGAGCCCTGGCTGTCCTTCC